CGATGCCATTTCTCATAGTACTGCATCTCTGCGTGTATCCACACAGGATGTTATGACAAGGACCAAGTGTTGTCTGTGGCATAGAATAAAATATGACACGTATAAGAATTATGCAGTCAAATATGAAATTGTGACAATATGCCAGCTATAATGTCTAGTCATCTATATTTTTACACAAATATATTTCTGATATTTCTGAACCACAAAATGATTTTATCGTTATGATCATATTCATCAATATACCTATTATACCAGCATAGGTTTTTTTATTAAAAGTCTTTGAACAAAGTTAGTGCTATTAATTTCTTTATTCTGTCACATTATTTAAGTTACTCCCCAACAACTAAAACAGAGAAGCAGAACAAACTGACGACACTTCGCCATTGGAAAACATCTGCTTGTTTACCACCAGTTGAGCTAATATCATATCACCATTTAGACACAACATCGTAAGGAACAAGTAGTTCCAGTGTAATCTTACCTTGTTCCAACTCATAATTGAACTGTAAATGAAATCCTCTTTCCCTCCATCTTCCAGATATTGGAGGTCTTCAAATACATTCAGATGGCACGCTCTCCGCCCAATCCCAAAATTTAAGGACTTGCATATTCCATATGAAACACATTCAGCGGCACAGGAGAACAGAGATGATTTCTCGATAATCTTAAACGTTGATCCCACTAGGTGTTTTCCATCATGTAGCGCCGGCATACATGTATTTGTTACTGGTACCATACTCGAAAGTATCTGACACCAAATGTACACGATTTCCAATTGCCTAAAGTGATGAAAGAACATGATTTCAATATAAACACGGTGACAGTGGTTGTCCAAAATGTGATGAAGGAATTAACATGAAAATATTCAACAACGCTGCACTTATGGTTCACCTCTGGCACTGCGTAAAAACAGGAATCATCAATGAGAATATATATAATGAGAATATATTGCATATAGTTTAGACTATATCCAACACTTGAAAAACAATCTTCATGAAATATACATCAAAGCTTCGACACAATGCATAAAGAAAGGTTCGCTGAGTCTTTAACTGGAGACGTCAATGGGTTGTTGTTTTCCCAAATCATTGCTTCGGTATTGTCCACTTGATACTTAGTTATTGATAATCAATACTTCGAATGTCAACATAGTAAATCAATAATGCATTGTGACAGGTCCATCACAATAGTGGTAAACATGGGGAGAATTCAAGACAAAGCCTGCATCTGTAGTTGCCTTGCCATTGTTATGGCTAAACGGTCAGACCCATCTTTCAGAAAAAAGGAAACCTATTAGGCAAAATTATCTGAACAGAGGGTGAGGTGAAACGGGGTTTAACGACGGTTGAAGATTATTACACTTATATGGCGACGTGCATGCACGTGTGTGTGGCTAGTTGTACTGGTCCGGACTGATGCCGATTTATAGTGCAAGCCCACTGAGATACCATGCCGCAGTGTAACATGAATACCCTACTCAGACACAGTGTACTGACTCCGAAACAGTGGTTATGTATGGTGGATCTGTTCTGCATCCATACACACGTGGGTAGCAAAATGCAGGAACTGTTGTTAAGGAGACAATATTGGTAATGCGAAGCAAGACTCGGTTTTATTCCCAAAATAGTATTAAACTAACATTTAGAGTTGCAAGGTAGGCTGTTATTAAAGAACACAATGATAGGAACTTTAATGCATAGCGTACTCCAACCTTTAAGAAATTCGGAGACACTGCAGCCTTGTGTGTGGAGACTGGGCAGTTCTGCACTCATGCCTCACTGCTGAAGTGTACATTTGTAATCAATGACTGTTTAACACGTGGATACACGAATGAAAGCAACCGTGAAAGCAATGCGGATGAAATGTAAAAGCAATATAGATGTCATCTTCTCGAGGCAAGAGAGTTAACTGACTTTATAAGTCCAGTTTCCACCCTTGCCGAACTAGGCTGGAATTCCTGGGCTCGATCGTAGCGCCACCAATGGCTATTACGAGTTATGTCCTTTCTATGCCACTCCTATTGACCAATCAGATTCAACCTCTCGTATCACTTGCATTTGCTTCAAACAAAACGGTGGCACCCAGTCAAGACGATCTGATTGATAATCAAGATCTATATTGTGATAAAACGAGTCTTACATCGCGAAGTGCATCAAATCACGTGAGCACCTTGATCAAAAGCATGAAAAGATTGGGAAAATTTCTGTTGACAACGAGTTAGCGAGGCATATGCTTTACAAATCCTGCAGTCGACCGAAATCTGCATGACACTTTACGAACCGGATTTCGATTTCGGTGCGCGATTTTGATTGGACTATGCATAGACTCCATAATACCAGCCTAGTTCGGCAAGGGTGGAAACTGGACTTTTAAAGTCAGTTTACTCACTTGCCTCGGGAAGATGTATAGATGTGCAACGCCAAAAGACACCGTGTAACAATCTGTACAATATCTACAGTATCAACTAATTTTATGTCAATGTGATCACTCACAAAACAGAAACGATACATCAAATTGATTTGTGAAGTCAACATAGAATTAATTCGTTTTACTATTTGATCTTCAAAGCCTATCTAGAATGTCCCAGGTGTATGATGGATCAGAGAGTGATGGAATCATTTCAACTGACATACTATTGTTTTCATTCGTCGACAACCAGTTTCTAACAACAGTGAGTGAGTGAGTATGGTTTTACGCTACTTTTAGCAATATTCCAGCAATATCACGGCGGGGGACACAAGAAATGGGCTTCACACATTGTACCAATGTCGGGAATCGAGCCCGGGTCTTCGGTGTGACGAGCGAACGCTTTAACCACTACCCGATCGCCCCTCCTAACAACATCCTTTATCCATGGCTAGTACTGCGCCTCTCGTGTAGACAAAATTGTTTTGAGATGATGAATTGTTGACAATCCGAGCTTGTAAATGTGAATATGTGTTTTGTGAAAATAAAAGCAACAAAACGCTTTTAATATGCATTGATTCCGACTATAACATAAGAATACATTTATGAATCAATAACTAAGATACCAAGTGTTGATCCTAGTGATATTATTGAGCGACACAAATGTCATTGTACACCATTGTGTTCATACGTGTACATAATCATGAATATAAGATAGCCACGCGTTAAAAGGCAAACAGCAACGAAGAACGTATCGTGGTTTATTTCACGATAAAACATTACTTTATCATGACGTCATTTCGGGAGATTCGACATAAGTCGCAACTTGATGACGTCGTATATATGACGACGTTATTTTTTAGAGGGAAGTGTCAAGTGAGTTGTTCCCCACCGATGTAACAAGGTAACGCAGGTGAACGCAGTTGCCGAACGATCGCATCCAATAGAAAGATAGATGCGACAATCGGAAATGATAGAAAAGGTACAGATAATCATACCAAAAGACGTTAAAAGACGTTGTACTTGTTGTTACGCTATTTGGCGCTCGTAATTAACCGGCTAAAACAAGGACTGTTCGGCTCGCAGTCAGTATACTGTGGCTGAGTGGGGAATTTAGAGTGGTATCTCAGTGTGCTAGCACTATGAATCAGTATCAGTCCGGACAAGCACACACACACACACACACACACACACACACACACACACACACACACACACACACACACACACACACACACACACACACACACACACACACACACACACACTCACTCACTCACTCACTCACTCACACACACACTCACTCACACACTCACACACTCACTCACACACTCACACACTCACTCACACACTCATACACTCACTCACTCACTCACTCACTCACTCACACTCACTCACTCACTCACACACACTTTCACTCACTCACACACACACTCACACACACACTCACTCACCCACTCACACAAACTCACTCATACACAGACACACACTCACACACACACAGACGCGATTATTTACAGACCGCCGTCATATAGCTGGAATAGTGCCGAGTGCGGCGTTAAACAACAAACAAACAATCAGTTGCTTACAACACCTGTTGTGCATGACTTATAACACACGTTCAGAAGACGCTGTCTGTATGAGGTAAGAACTAATTTCCTTTAGGTTGATGGGCGTCAAGATATAGTACACAAAAGAAGTTAAAGAACACCCAGATTATTATATTATTAATATTGTTAATTAGTCATGCCATAAACATTTTTTGAGTAGCAACTATTCAAAAATACTCACGAGTAAACACATTCTGTATGTTCTTCCTAATTCACTAATATGTTCCCGCATACAAATCAAATGTACGCAACGCACCATGAAATGAGATATGTCTGGAATGCACATTACATGCAAGAATATTGCAACTATTCAACATTATGAAACACATTTTTAACAAAACAAAGCAGGTAAACATATAATTATACATTTTTACGTACCTTACAGGAACCGTGGCCGTGTTTAAGCGCATTACAGAGGGTTATGTATAGATTTCGATTTACTATGTACACATTTCGTATTTTCGTTTGAAATATGCAAAATTTCCTTTTACAACGTTATGTCCAGTTCTCTAACCCAATCTAAGTATCACATACCAATGTCAGTCGGAGAACCTATTAGATTACAATGCCATTAGTAAAATATATTGCAGCATATCGTCATTTGAATTCATTACACGCTACAATAAATAAATAGATAGTCAGTGGGTCTATCCTGAATACGCAGGTGGCTGCATAATATATGAACTTATTGTTGAGGAGACAATAGGAGAAATGGAATTAGTCTTTGTTGTGCTTTCAGTACAGTTTCTTTGTTCAGTTTCTTCTAAAGTTTCACATACCAATGACAACTGTCCCGTCGTTTGACCATCAGCAGAGAATATGGCACCATTGTATTTCATTTGAACTCATTACACTCAATACACAGTCTTTTGTTTAGTTTATTCAAACCTTTAGTTGTACTACCATCTTCCATTAAGATTTGAAAGGTAGGTTGTTCTTAAAGAACTGAATGATTCAAAGAACGGGTTTGAAAATAGCATTTTAATCAGGAACTACAGTTACAGGGGAAGCATGGCGTGGATATATATGAAACAAGGTGGGCGTGGTAACAATGGTACAAACTTACAGGCAGTTGTGAAATATGTACTACCTGTAATATTCTGAAATGTAGACATCAAAGGCTCTTCATAACGGTAAAGTAGACTATTTGAAAGTTGAAGTCACTATCAAAGTAATGTACAGGGGGCTGCATTGTGCATAACTATGTGATGCTAGGCGAGAATCTAATTTCATGCATAGCTTACTCCGACCCATTTCCTGTCACATGTTATCGATCCCAATTGCGTGGATCGATGCTCAAATTGTAAAATGTATTTCGAGTCACATTTCTATCAATGTGATCAGTCAAAATACAGTAGCATCTAATCAAATTGATTTGTGAAAGCAGCATACAATCCTTGTTATTTTGTAGTTAATGGCCGCAATCGTCAATATTCCACCAATCTGGGTACGATGACACGACCCATCACGTTACCGGGACTGAAAACTCGGGATCTCCTTGGGGTTATAATTAATTCATGATATAGATTCACACTGAACTGAAGAGACATACGTGTCAATTCAAACATATGTGATGAACAAACTCAATAATGTATCACATACGACGGTTGATTGATAAGTTCTGATCCTCACACAGAAACACTTGACCTAAAGACATTAAAATCAATTATTTTTCAAAATAATTCCCTTCCACATTGATACGCTTTTGTCAACAATGTTGGAGGGATTTTCTCCTCGTTTCGTAGAGGTCCTTCACAGCTTCAAAGCTGCTACGATGTCACAGTGAAACAGTTTGCTCAGTTGACTCAAGTATTTCTGGATACACCTTTTTGACATCATGTAATGACCGTAGCTAGAGATTGTCTTCTAAATGAGGCTCAGAACTTAACAATCAACCCTCGTACAAGGAGACAACAACACGCATTTGGTCCAACTAAAGCTTCACATACACTCCATTTACATGAAATACAAAGTACAGTCAATCAAAGTCAGCAAAGTTACTTTCTAACAAATTCATCTGTCGAGTTTGAACACACCACGTCCAATGACTCTGATTGCACAAACACAGTATCAAGCATTTTAGACCCATAAGTCCCATATATCCATCTTGGCGGAATATCACTGGTGGTACGAATGAACGGTTCTCAACAGGCAAACCACAGTGACGTATTCTGCAAGAAATACAGTAAATATATCAACAACTGTAGACCTTTACCAGGTGCAAGCAGTGCCCCTATTTCTGTGCTTCTGCCGTTTGGTCGAGCCAGGTGATAGCATTTAACAAACGTTCAGTCATTTGACACAGTGGGGACGAAGAAAACAACCCGTGAAATCCGGGGTAGAATAGGTCTTCAGCAACCAGTGTTTGCCATAAAAGGCGACTATGCTTGTCGTAAGAGGCAACTAACGGGATCGGATTGTCAGGCTCGCTGACTTGGTTTGATGCATGTCATCATAGATCGATGCCAATGATATCAATCACTGGATTATCTGGTCCAGACTCGATTATTTACACAGACCGCCGTCATATAGCTGGAATAATGCTGGGTGCGGCGTTAAACAACAAACCAACAAACCAAGCAACGAAGAAAACATCTTCTCTCATGTGGACACGAATTTGTTTACCCTTTCTAAATACACTCATATCACACATCAATAACAATTTCCATTGACAATTAATAATGTACGATAACACTTCTACGTCGCGGTGAGTAAGTTCCGATTGGTTGACCGACAAAAATGCTGACTCTTACCATCTTATGTAAATTACTTTAAACAGTCACAAATGAAATAAAATATGAAATCTTTAGGTTAGACGTACCATTGTAACAGCTTGAAGCCAAAGACCTGGACTTCACAAAACTGCAGAATATCATTACTGTTAATCGTTTTGTTTCCAGTAAGCCTCAGGTAACGGCCAGTCAAGGGTGAAGTACACTGTATGGCAATTGTCTTGCCACGCTCTCTGACGGCTCCATTGTACATGTAACACAGTTGTGGACTGACACTAGGGTAGACAAGAGGGTCGTCTTGATACACGTCGAGAGCAAAGTCGTGAAGTCGTTCAGCTGAAACACCAATAGTATGTCAAATGAACACAAGAAGCTTATAGAATATGTTCCCACGATTATTTTCACAGTTAGGGGCGAACCATTTGTTTTTACGTCACACTTTAAATTCAGTCTATAAAATGAATGTTAAATTGTATGATAGGCATTACTGAGAAGTTGACGGATGACAAGGTAGACACAATTTTATGGATAACCAAAAAAGTAAAAAGCGACGTTTCGGTATAGATCCTTAAACCGTTGTCAAACAAGACTGAAAGAGGGACATAGTTATATATAGTAGGTGGGGCATTAACGGAAGAGGATTAACAGTACCAACAATTGCATACATGAGTGGGATTACATAGGTAGGTGTTGACAACAAAGGGATAATACTGTCACAACACAATGGACAGACAAATGATAAACATGTTACAACTTCAATAAAAGGTGAATAGTTTTTATGAATATATGTTAATACATAATGTGTTTTGTCCATCAAAGGAAACTGAAAGTAAAACAAATATCGTGTAAAATGAAACGTTTATCTCACGACAACAGTCTTCTCTACTGGTGACACGGACTTCCACAACGACAAATGTGTCCAGAAAGTCCACCTGCCACCAGGGTGAGAATCACCAATGTCAACAGCAAAACATTTGTTTTTACGTCACACTTCAAATTCAGCCTATAAAAAGAATTTTACCATTTTGTTCACTAAAACATCACAACTGTTCAGATGTAGGAGAAACGAAAACAGAACAATGAAAATAGTAGCTTTATGAAACATTTCTATATTATAAAAGACCATATTTTACCAAACTATGTGTAGCAAATGTCTGGTTTGCAGTTCTCTTCAAATTGACAGAACATTGGTCAACCTGACATGTTTGTACTCAAAAAGTGCTGTCGGAATGTGCTTTTCAATTACTAAGATTGTGGGTGATGGACATAAATAGCATGACAAATGAAACGTTACCAAACAGAAACTTGGACACTGTTACCAATGGTTGAGAATCCATCGCCCAAACACAACCAAAACCATTTGGTACAGTACCCAGGTCAGTGGAACTCGATTTTGAAGTGAACTTTTACTGTACTTTCAGTATACTAGCCTACAAAGAGATGTGGGTATAAAACTAACGATGTATTGTTCATTCACACCCAATGCAGACTGTGTCGGTACAATATCAGAGCTCACAGACCCTAGACGTAACGCTGACACTAGAACATCGACATCAATGAGCTCGAACACGGTGACGCCGGTAGAGCAGAAACTGGCAAAGAGTCAGGTTCACAGGAGAGAGTAGGTTCCAGCTTTTCAGGGAAGAATGTGTGTCTACCTCCGACGAGGAGAACGAACATCACATTATTGCGTTAAAGATGTCGGATCGTTTGGAGGTGGCACCATTATAGCTTGGGGTGACATCTGTAGCCAAATCAAGGTGGTATCTGTGACCTAGGGCTTTTGGAAGGAAACCTCACTGGAGTTAGATTGAACAAACTCTATACTCTGTTGTGCTACCGCTCTGGCAACATAATCTCCGGACCCTAGTTCAAAAAGTAACACAAGACCAAAAACAACGTCTTGCCTTGACTAGCACAATCACCACATCTAACACCAATAGAATACTTGTGGATCACCTTGACCTTCAATTTAGACCACGACCAGGTCGCCCTTATAACAACGATCAGTTATCAAAGGCCCTCCCGAGACAAATGGCCTCGAATCCCACATCTTCTGTCCGTCGTCGAGTTGGGGCGTTCATTGATGCCCGTGGTGGGCATGCACGATATTTAATGACAATACAAATATCTTTCTTGACATCGGTCCTGTACTGTTGTTATCTTGTAATCGTTTTCAAGGGCATCAGATTATTTCCCATCACAGGCAACATGTGTTTCAGTCGTAGCACAGCAGTACAAGTGGAGTCAATAACCTTGTCCAAGGATACAACACAGTGACCTACATGATATTGCCTCTTGGAATGAAAGATTTGAAATAATCATTTATAAATAAGTGTTACAAGCATGCTGTCTCTCATATTCATGTCTTTACGTCAAAGATTATTGCTTTGCTCTCAAAAACGAGGGTCGAGACATTTTATTGACACTGGAAAACAAATTACAAGTTGATGGAGTTTTTATTTCACACAAAATTATTATCTGTGGTTATCCTAAAGAAATCAAATGGTCCGACCCATAATATTTTATGGACATATGATATGTTGTTGATTGAAGAAGGGTAACTGTCTTTTGTTTTCTGTTCAACAGCAGCTGATGTATGGTTACAGATGCATAACAAAAGATCACACATGGTGTTACTGTATCTAATAATCCAAATAATAAACATGTTACAACTTCAGTAAAAGATGAATAGTTTTTTATGAAAATATTCAAGTGTTATATGTAATGTGTTTTATGCGTCCAAAGAATTTTTTTAAACAAATATCGTGTCAAATGAGAAGGGAAACGTTTATCGTACGACAACAGTCTTCTCTACTGGTTACACGGACTTCCACAACGACGCATGAGTCCAGAAGGTCAACCTGCCACCAGGGTGAGAAATCTCCACTGTCAACAGCAAAACATGATCCAGATGACCATGTCGCTGTAACATCACCGTCTACTGCAACACTGGGCTGGAACATGTCATGTCGCCACACTGAACTTGCATTTGCTGGCTTATCTTTAGCCAAATTTTGCAGAATTTCCTCCCCTTAAAGAAAAGAAACGCAGTTCTCATAACATTGGTATGTAATGGTCGGTAACATCTTTAGGACCGACATGGTTATGTGACATAGGTTGAAAACAAAACATAAAACTATTAGGCTTAAAAGTGTTGTAGTATCAAACAGAACTGAGATTATGTTGGCTTATTTGTAAGTAGAAAAACCAAACTAGATAACATGGGGCAGATTTCTGCATTAAAGAGCGGTAACAGACTGAAGGAAGCATGAAACGATATGACTTTAACTTAAGCCAAAAGCACAATTACTGTTTAATAAAGACGTTGTGCGGTCAGTTACTGCATGCACATTGCTTTGCCGGCGTGTCTATCATGTCTTTATGTGTCGGCGTATTTAGATTTTCACTGAAACTATTTTATGAATCATAACCCTATTTTTCATATGATACAATGTTGGATAATATGGTTTTAGGTGTCTAGTTTCAGCCGAAACAGATTACTGTTCTTATGTTATATGTACTCATCGTTATTAAATGTACATACCGCACTGAACGGTGCCATTTCTCTTAGTACTGCATCTTTGCGTGTAGCCACACAGGATGTCATGACAAGGACCAAGTGCTGTCTGTGGCATAGAATAAAATATGACAAGTTTAAGAATTATGCAGTCATATATGAAATTATGAAAATATGCATATGCCAGCTATAATGTCAAGTCATCTACATTTTCACACAAATATATTTCTGATATAGATTTCCAAACCACAAAATGATTTTATCGCTATGATCACATTCATCAATATACCTATTGGACCAGCATAAGTCTTTTTATTTAAAAAACACTCTTTTAACAAAGTTTGTGCTATTAATTTCTTTATACTGGCACATTTTGCAGGAAATTTATTTAAGTTACTCCCCAACAACTAAAACAGAGAAGCAGAACAAACTGACGACACTTCATCATTGGAAAACATCTGCTTGTTTACCACCAGTTGAACTAATATCATATCACCATTTAGACACAACATCGTAAGGAAGAAGTAGTTCCAGTGTAATCTTACCTTGTTCCAACTCATAATTGAACTGTAAATGAAATCCTCTTTCCCTCTATCTTCCAGATATTGGAGGTCCTCAAATACATTTAGATGGCACACTCTCCGCCCAAATCCAAAATTGAAGGACTTGCATATTCCATATGAAACACATTCAGCGGCACAGGAGAACAGAGATGATTTCTCGATAATCTTAAACGTTGATCCCACTAGGTGTTTTCCATCATGCAGCGCCGGCATACATGTATTTGTTACTGGAACCATACTCGAAAGTATCTGACAACAAATGTACACGACTTCCAATTGCCTAAAGTGATGAAAGAACATGATTTCAATATAAACACCTTGACAGTGGTTGTCCAAAATGTGATGAAGGAATTAACAAGAACATATTCAAAAACGCTGCACTTATGGTTCACCTCTTCCACTGCGTATACACAGGAATCATCAATGAGAATATATTGCATATAGTTAAGACTATATCCAACACTTGAAAAACTGTCTTCATGAAATATACATCAAAGCTTCGACACAATGTATAAAGAAAGGTAAGTCTTTAACTGGAGACGTCAATGATGTTTTTTTTCCAAATCATTGCATCGGTATTGTTTAGAGTCCACTTGATACTTAGTTTACTGATAATCAATACTTCGAATGTCAATATAGTAAATAAATAATGCATTGTGACAGGTCCACCACAACAGTGGTAAACATTGGGAGAACTCAAGACAAAGCCTGCAACTGTAGTTGCCTTGCCATTGTTATGGCTAAACAGTCAGATCCATCTGTCAGAAAAAAGGAAACCTGTTAGGCAAAATTTTCTGAACAGAGAGTGAGGTGAAACGGGGTTTAACGACGGTTGAACATTATTACACTTATATGGCGACGTGCATGCACGTGTGTGTGGCTAGTTGTACTGGTCCGGACTGATGCCGATTTATAGTGCAAGCCCACTGAGATACCATGCCGCAGTGTAACATGAATACCCTACTCAGACACAGTGTACTGACTCCGAACCGACCAATTTTTGTTTGAGCACCTTTATACCGAGCGCCAGACAGGGTAACAACAAGTACCATTTTTTAACGTCTTTTTGGTATGACGCGACCGGATTCGAACTCCTGACCTTTCGCTCTCGGCGCGGACACTCTACCACTAGACCACGGAGGCGGTCCTGAACATCTAATCAATTAGTTTGGATTGACAAATAAACACAACACAGATTAAAATAGGTTATTTTTAATGGGTTTCAAAAGAATTATCAAGAGTTCAAAATGAATTACTGTTAACTACTAAACATGTAAATTAGGTACAAGGTAAACATCGGGCGGACAGACCGTATGTATTTTATCTTAATACCTCAGGTTCAAAACAGTCACGAAATGCACCTATGTAGACATGTCTTCCACCGGATGAACTCTGTTAACTTTGTGATATCGATTTCTTTCAATCGTAAATATTTGACAGCCAGATGCTGATAACATGAGAAGTCATGCTGCGTTCTGTTTTGTTCTTGCGATAATGTGTTTGTTTTTTATTCTAACCTACGCTATGTAACCTTTAATAGTTTAAAGTTTGGCCATCGTGTGTACAAGAATCAAGAATCCTATGGCCGTGTGGCAACCGTCTTACTTACTTACTTACATTGGAGATTTTACGTGCGCTTTCCGATTGAGAGCGTATTTCGCACACTGGCCCGCCAGGCCATTTAGTAAAGTTCGAAAAAGGGAATGAAAAGGGGCTGTGCAACCCGCAATGGGTCTTTAAGGGTTGCTGATGTTGTAATTTTGAGATTTGGAGATTTGGAATGGATGCCAAGGTGGGGAGAAACTACGGGAGCCGTGTTGGGTGTATGGTTGTTTGTTCATGTAGTTTTGGGTGTATTAGTGAGTTGGATGGTTTTTAAATGCGGTTTAAAGTTATTTAACGGGTTTAGGATTTTATCTAGAGTTAGTCCTTGCTGTAGGTTTAGTGTGGTTTGTAGAGTTGTTCTATGTGTCTGGTAATGAGTGCAGTGTATAAGAGCATGTTCTGGGGTTTCGTGTTGGGTGCAGTGTGGGCAAGGTTCCTGTTGCGTGTCGTTTAATTTTTTTAAGGTGGTTATTAAGTTTTGTATGGCCTGTCTGAAGCTTTGTTATGACCCTGTCTATTTTTTTAGGGGTGTAGTACTTTTGGTTTGTTTAAGGATTTCTTTAATACTTTCCTAATTTGACAGTCTGAGCTTAGGAAGTTTGCCATTTTTTTAAGATTTTTTTTTTTATGATACTTTTGATTTCAGACTTTGGTAGGAGATTGGTAGGTTAAGGCTTATATTTGGGATTTTAAGGGAAAGTTTAGCTGCTTGGTCTGCTTTTTCGTTGCCAAACATACCTACATGGGCAGGGATCCAAAGAAATTGTATGTTTTTCCCAGCTTTAGTTAGGTCGCTTGTCCTTTTAAGTATTTTGTTGATTAATTTTGGGCGGTTTTTAATGTTTTTATTTTGGAGTGCCTTGAGGCCACTGAGGGAATCTGTTAGGATGAGGATGTTTTGATGGTTTTTAGTTTGTTGGCTATGGAGGTCTGTGGCCATGCCCATAATTTCGGCTGTAAATATGGATTGGTTGTTTTGGAGTCAGTATGATTTGGTTGGTTGGTTTGGTTGTGGGGCGTGTACTCCGAAACCTGTGTGTTTGGAGATCGGATCTGAAAATCCGTCTGTGTAGATGTGGCACCAATTTGGCCAAGTCTCGTGAATGTTTGCGAGTGGGGTGGGTTTGGCTATGTTGGGATCTGTTTCCTTTTTTAGTATGTTCGATAGTGATGTATCTATCTTTGGTATTTGGAGTTTAGGGGTGAAGGCGTTTGAGGGTTTGGTGTTTTGTTTATGATTATTGAGTTGGTGCTCTTTTAGATAATGAGTAATTCTTTGTGAGATTGGGGTGAGGAGGGGGTATTTTTTTGCTAATGCTTGGCTTTTAGGGCTGATGTTGCTTTTTAGGGTGTTTTCGATTGGAGGGTTTGATTGGGATGCTGCCCAGAAGTTTAGGGTAAGTTGCTCCCTACGTCGTTCTAGTGGGATTTTTCCTGTTAGAGCCTGGAGTGATGTGAGAGAGGTACCTTGTTGAGTTCGGGTGATGTGTTTAAGGGCCTGATATTGGATGGAGTTAAGTTTTTTATTTAGTGAATTGTTTAGGGTGTTGTAAATGGCGCAGGCGTAGTCTATTTTTGATCGAATTAGCGATATGTATAGTGATAGCAGATTTGGTTTAGCGGCTCCCCAGTTGGAGCCCGTGAGACATTTCAGAGTATTTAGGTCTTTACTGCACTTAGTTACGAGTTCTTTGATGTGAGCATCCCAGGTGAGATGCTCACCTTAATCACCCTTAATCTTGATTTCTTCGTAATTTATATATTCCCTGATATTATATTATTAGGCCTCCTGCGGCCCTACCTGTTTTGGTTTGCGCTCGGTCTGTTCTAACTGAGTTAAAGTTTGGTAGTGTGAATTTGGATTTTTTGGAGAATTTAGTTTCCTGGATGCAAGCAATATGTGGGCCTTTATCTAGCTTAAATTTAGTATTTAGTTCATGGCCGTGGGAGGTTAGTCAGTCCGTTGGTGTTCCATTATTGAGTGCTTTGTGGTTGGTGGTTTAGTTTTAGGTTTTTGGGTTTAGTTTGTTGTGGTTGCTGCTTTGTATGTGTGTGTGGTTAGTAACCGTCTGAGGGACCGTCCATTTTATATTCTAGGGGGGTGTCTCTCGGGGATGCAGAAGAGATGACGTGACTGGATGAGTTTTCTTTAAATTTGCAGAACTTGCAGTTGTATATTTGAAGAAGGCTGGATCCCTGGGTCACTGGTAAATTAACGTTCATAGTGGTGTCATTAATCTGATGGTTGAAATTCTCTGTGACGTGACGTGATATGTCACGATCCGCTTATCAAGGGTTCGAATCGGAGATTAGCCCGAAATAACACCCGTTCCGTCAGCATTACACCGTGGGATTCAAGGTCATTTTTGAGACACACGTCTACAAGATGCTATTAAAACTATTCGACTGTATATCGTGAATAAGACATATATGGCTTCAGCGATTGCTGAGAAGGATAAGTAACTATGATGTCAAAATACTGCATACACGTCCACGAGGTTGCTTGTACTAGTGCAGGCGGGATTAATAGTACTAACCCACTGAGATAAAGTGCGTCAGTTTAATCTATAGGGTATTCAAGAACAGCTGACAATATCTTCTTTATGGGGTACACATGTAGGTATTGCTCGTAGAGGCAGCTGATCGTGTTTCAAACCCTAGTCCTGATTATGATATTATGGTTTATGAGCAAAACGGGGTTTACTTACGTATATATAAATATATATAAAGCACAGTAAAGTTCTAACTCTCAGGCACAATATAGTAATAACTGTGTTCAATCTTACTCCACTTATTTAATTATTACTATATATATATATATATATATATATATATATATATATATATATATATATATATGCAAAATTTCCTTTTACAACGTTATGTCCAGTTCTCTAACCCAATCTAAGTATCACATACCAATGTCAGTCGGAGAACCTATTAGATTACAATGCCATTAGAAAAATATATTGCAGCATACGTCATTTGAATTCATTACACGCTACAATAAATAAATAGATAGTCAGTGGGTCTGTCCTGAATACGCAGGTGGCTGCATAATATATGAACTTATTGTTGAGGAAATATTGGAGAAATGGAATTATTCCTTGTTGTGCATTCAGTGCAGTCTTTTGTTCAGTTTCTTCTAAAATTTCACATACCAATGGCAACTGTTCCGTCGTTCGACCATCAGCAGAGAATATGGCACCATTGTATTTCATTTGAACTCATTACACTCAATACACAGTCTTTTGTTTAGTTTATTCAAACCTTTAGTTGTACTACCATCTTCCATTAAGATTTGAAAGGTAGGTTGTTCTTAAAGAACTGAATGATTCAAAAGAACTGGTTTTGAAAATACCATTTTAATCAGGAACTACAGTTACAGGGGAAGCATGGCGTGGGTATATATGAAACAAGGTGGGCGTGGTAACAATGGTACAGACTTACAGGCAGTTGTGAAATATATACTGCCTGTAATCTTCTGAAATGTAGACATCAGGGGCTCTTCATGACGGTAAAGTAGACTATTTGAAAGTTGAAGTCACTATCAAAGTAATGTATTGCGGGCTGCATTGTGCAGAACTATGTGATGCTAGGCGAGAATCTAATTTCATGCATAGCATACTCAGACCCATTTCCTATCACATCTTATCGATCCCAATTGCGTGGATCGATGCTCATGATATCAATCACTGGATTGTCTGGTCCAGACTCGATTATTTACAGACTGCCGTAATATAGCTGGAATATTGCTGGGTGCGGCGTTAAACAACAAACCAACCAACCAGCCC